AAACCTTAAACACAACTTGGATTACCCTGCTGTGTAAGTCCTTTGGCCTAGAGCCCACCTCACACATCCCAACCCAGAGCTCCACTGAGTCCTCCTCTCAATAACCAACCTGGAACATTTCAATCCACATGGCACCTGGCCACAGGCCCATTTTCTCCTCAAATTTGTGGTTCCTGCTGTTGCCTGAAGCTCCTCTTTCACCTGCCTGCCCAGGAGGTGTGCTGCTGCTTCCTACCTTAAAGTTATTGAATAGACTAGATATCAGCTGGGTCAAGAAATTTGATTTTAATTTACAAGCTATCACAGTTACTGCCTTTTGGGGACAAGATAAGCAAGTATGAGATTTATAAGGGACAGTAAACAGCATTCTTATTGGGTTGAGGTGTAAAATAAGTTTCAGGGAAAAACTAAGCATGATTCTACTTTGTCCACTTCTATGAAATTACAGAACTCTGTAACTCTTCTGTTACAGAACTTTCCCCCATGATAAAGCTTCTTTTTGTAAGAAAGTAACGCCACTGGCTTCAGCTATACTCCCTGTCAGTATTTCAAAGAGCACACCAAGTGCTTCTAAACAGAAGATGCTCTTCTGATTCATCTACATTGGGTGGAAGAATGAGCACACACATGTCCATATGGATAAGTTTGTACCAGAGAGTGTGGGGAAATTTATTCCCCATGGTGGGTAAGAAACTGAAATAAAGAAAAAGCCTTTCTGTGAGAGAAGGTGGGGCTGAAATTTTGAGGACTGTGAAGTGACTGTCCTGATTTGGTCTAATGATTCATTTTACAAGAGATCTCATTCGGTGTGCTGGATTTCAGAAAAGCAGAGTAAATGAAAGCAAAAGTAATCAAATATGCAAACAGACAGACCCAGTCAAATCACACTCACAGTCCTAGCTCACCTTCAAATCCCATTATTCAATCAGAGCTAAATAAAATGCTGTGTCAAATAATGTAAGTCTCTTTCAGCTGATATATTTGAATTAATAGAAGATGAATTGTCTATATTAGATTTATAGAGGAGAACACAGAAATGCTAATTTAATTTTTTAATAAATTTGAAAAGGTAAAAATATGCTTAAAAATATTTTTAATACCTAGCTCTCACCCCCAGGGACAGGAATTAAAAACTTAGTCAGAACTGACATTTATAAATCATCATCCCTTTCTTTACTTATAGAGATCAATTTAAGAGAATTCAGCCACTCTGTATTTGCATCTGAGATGTGCTCATCAGAGACCAAACCTCTGCAGTCAGGAGAATATTACAGAGCTGGAGATCATTACCGACCAGCTCTGCCCTCAGAGCTCCCTGTCACCCCGGCTAGTCAGCCTGCTCCCTTCAGGCAGAAGACAACTCACATTCCAGGAGATTTAAATAAGATTAAAATCTCTCAAAACCCCAGCTGTGTCAGCACTCCTAGCAAAACTGTCTTTACATACTTCTTTCAAACAACCCTTGGAGCGAAACATAGGTTAATAGATTTATTCAGGAATCCTTTCGATGATTTAAAAGTGGCTTTCATGTTCACCCCTCCCCTAGGCATCTGCACTTCTATGATGACCATTGCTACACTGCTCCTCTGCCAGCGTGTTCCTCTACCTGAGTTTTGCTGCAGGCAACAGGGACTAAGGGTTCAAACTTCATCTGTATCCCCACCTACCCACCTCAAAGAGACAGGAGCTGTAGGGGTGGAGGGAGAACTGAGGTCTCCTAGCCTGCGGCCAAGTCTCTTGGGTGTTTGCTAACCCCAGCCTGCATCTGGAGTGGCTGCTGCTGTCATCTTCCCTTCTCCAAGACAACGGCGCTTATTATTGTGCATTAATGACTCTTCGCTTCTCCCCCTCTGCCAGGACGCTACAGCATTTCCAGTATAAAAGGATTTCCAAGCCCCCTTCATTTCTGTGACTAGTGATGTGACTGATCAAAGAAGCAGCTGGGTCCCTATCTGTTGCCTTGTGCCTGCAAAAGAAAAAGCAGATTAGCCGCAGAGGTACAAAGCAGCGGGAGTCCTCCTGTTTGCCTTTGCCATGGAGCCTCTGGGGACAGCAGTCACTGTTGGTTAGCTGAACTAGATAAATTTATATTGTTTCTGGGTTGTTTTTTCTTGTTTTGTTTCAAAATTCTAGGTTGAAGACTCTGGACCTGACATTTCCTTCCTTCCCACATGGGTGGCACATTTGCTACTTGGCAGGCAACCTAAGAGATTTGTGCAGACATTTTAAATGATGACATCTATACATGTGAGAAGAAAAATTTGACAGATGCAAGAAATGATAAAGGAGAGAAGCACATGAGCTAATGATGGTCATACATTTTAGATCCATAACACAGTAATTACTAAGAGCTTATTTTTTGTTTTCAATGTGAGAGTTGCCATATTTAGAGTTCATGAACATCAGCAGCATTCCTTCAGCAGGTAGGTTCGTTGCAGCACACCCTTTAAGGCAGTAAGAGGCTTGTCCTCTTCTGCTTTTTTATAGCAAAAATTATCTGTGTGACTCCATTCCACTTACTGGAGAAAAGAGTTACTTCTCAAGGTATATTTTTCTGGCAACTGTACATATAGAGGAACTACAGTAAAACTATCATGAAGAAAAAAATCCGTGTGGAAAGTTTGTACTGTAGCTATGACCTTGGAGCAGATATACAGTCTGTTTTTGAAAAAGACTGGAAAGCTCACAGCTTCCAAACTTTCCATAAACAATTTCTGGAAGAAAAACAAATAAACAAATCCAAATGAATGAAAATCAGGTGATCAGATTATTTTCAAAACAGATGTGTTTCAGGCTGTTAAAGAAAACAACTAGGGAATACAGATGTGCACAAAATTAAATCCGTATTATCCTACACACACTGTAGTACATGGAAAAATCACTATCTGCTGCCATCTGCAAGAATTATCTTCAAACTCTAAGGAACAAACGAGACATGCAAGACATTTCATATCTTTAGGACACCTCAGGAGCCTGTGAAGAAATGCTCTGTATTTAACTGACAGTCAGGATTATTTTATGCCAAGTGTTCATATTAAAACATTTCTTACATACCTTTTGTACATGGTTTTCGAATTCATGTTTTACATAAGAACTCAAATCAAACAATCCATCCTGATCACAGAAAGTTTCCACTTTTGGTGATTATCTGAACTCATAAGCCAAAATGTGGTTTAATTAAAATCAAATGGAGGATAGGTAAATTTACATATGTGCATGCATGTGTACATTCACATATGCCCAGGCATGTGATGGAAATCAAAACTGAAAATAGAAGACATTTAACAGATTCTTATATTATCAGATGCATGTATTATATTAACAATCTCCCCTTTTATTAAAAGAAATAAAAGATAAGTTGGGTTTTTTTACATTAAAGATAAAATTTGGGCTTCCGATACTATATACGAAGTTTGTACCATCATCTACAGGAATTCAGTATAATATCAATTTACTTAGTCTTACAATTAAAACTGCCTATCATCCAATGCATTTGACCGCCAAAAGGTTAAATTACTAAATCCTTACCGGATGCTTATTACAGATACAGACATAAAACATGCATATGTTGTACTGACATATCTCTCTCTTATCAAAGAGCATTGTTTATTTAAAACAATTAAAACAATAATTAGAACCTACACAGAAGACTAAGTAAATTTTATTAAAACAGTTGCTCATGCCAGCAGCTTCAACAGCCCCATGGCATAAGCCATGCTGGTATCAACACACTCAATTCATTGACAGAGGAGGAAAGCCAGAAACTATGGGAAATGCAGACCCTCTGCCCGATCCAGATGCAGTAGAACACACTTCTTACCTCCAAAGCTATTTACCAGCAACAAACTGAGACAAGATAAGTGTAATCATCTAACCACAGATCTAAGAGATTTTTTTGCATCGTAAGTAAAACTGAACTACATTAATTTGGATTGAAAGAAGACTTTGCCAGTTTTTCTCAGCTTTAGCATCTCCCTCAGTATAAACCAATTCTAAATAAAAGAGATAACCTAGATATGGCAAATATTATTGAAACAAACATACGCACACAAGCAGACAAGAACAAAGTCCTCATTCTTCTGCTGGTATGTTCTAAAGATGCCTAATTGATTTAACGGGCAATGAGATTTAATTGCAGCTTTTAAGTTCCTAGAAAGTCATAGTCTGCATACATATGATTTCCTTCCAATACCGGACCCATTTTAAAACACAAGCTATAGTCTCTACGCCTGAAAAAGAAATTAAGTAGGAACATTTCTTACCTTGAAATTATGAACCTTCTCGTATTTTGGAACATGTTCATTTTCTTTCAGAGTTGCTCTTCGGACAAGCGATGTCAACTGTGAATAAGCAAAGAGTTTAAGAGGTTGCCAGATTGTCACGGACGACTTCCGAGCGCCCAGTTTCATGCCCAAGGCTGCGAGCAGTAGATCGCGCTGCCGGCCGTGCTGCCCGGCGCGGTGCCCCGCGGCGCCGCTCGCCCGGTGCGCTGCCCAGGGCTCCCTGGCCGGCATCGCTGGCGCGGCGGAGGCGGCGCGGCCCCGGGCCCGTCACACTCGGGCTGGCGGGGCGGCGCGGACCATGGCGGAGCTCAGGCTGCAGGGGCGGCCATGCAGGGCCGGCGCTCGGCGGGGCGGGGGGCTCGGCGCGGCCCGCGGGCGGCCGGCGGGCCGGGGGCGCGCGGCAGCGGCAGCCGGCGGCGGGGACGCGCAGCCCGCGGCCGCTCCCTCCATCGGCGGCGGCCGGCGCGGGGGGCGCGGGGACGCGCACGCCTCGCGCCCTGCGCACGCCCCGCTCCCGGCGCGGCTCCGCGGGGAACGGGAGCGGGAGCGGCACCGCCCCGGGGCGGCCGCAGCCAAGGGAGCCAATGGAGCCTGGTGGGCTCCGGGAGAGGCACCCGCGGGATGAATCGAGCACCGCTGCAAAATGGCACCTCCGCGCCCTTCGGGGGTGCGGGGACAGGCAGGGCAGCGACCGGCAGCCCCAGGGGGCACGGCAGGGAGCGGCTCTCCCCGATCCCCCCGTCTGACGTGGCCCGTGCACCAGGAGGTACGGCCGGGAGCGGTTAACGAGACCTCTGACGCTCATCACTTTTCCCCTAAAATTACATTTTTCGATTCTTTTCATATAAAAAGAGGGTCACCAATCTCAAATCACGTAGGGATGCGAACACAAATGCCACTCAAAGTTCATCGCACCACTCCACCAAAGACCCGAACCCCGATTTGCTGGTGGTGCCTCTTTTTAGGAGTTTACAGATACTAACAGAAGGTGAATGACCACAGTTTCCAATTGGATCGAAACCCAAAGTTTGGACGGCTGCAACTGACAATGAAATGTGCAACGGGCAGTCAGGTCCTGGCTAGCCCTTGCACAAAGTAAAGGAAACAGTATTTCACACAACCATTAAAGCCTTGGACTTGTTGCCTTAGGAGCAAAAATCAACGGGCTCACAAAGGACAGGGCAGACCATGACATACCCACCCGGAGCTGCCACCCAGGCAGCCCAGTTCAGGGGGCTCCCTCCAGCTGCGCACTGACAGTCGGGAGGAGACACTATGACGGCCACTCGACTCCTGTGCTTTTTCTTCTAGTGCTCTCCAAGCATGTGTGAACGGTCTTTGCCAGACACAGCAAAAATGGACTCTTGATCTGACTTAGCACAGCCAGGATTTACACCGTGGGGCTGACCACCATCCTGACATTCAGGGTGCCAAGAGACCTCTCCTCGTGCACAGCCTGCCTGTGCAGTCAGAGCGCAGCCCTCCCTCCCCTGCCACAGGCTGCAGCACCGCAACTGCTCTCCCTTCTGCAGCAAAGGTATTTTTATCTCTCCTGAGTCAGTAACCAAAGACAAGCACAGTTTGTCACAGGCTTCTGGGTGGAATGGGTATGTGCTTTGCAGCTGGATCAGAGTGTTACAGGTTAGCTCAGTCCTGCCAATACAGCTGAGAGTAATACTCACTGGGAGCCCCTCTTCTGTTCCCTTGCATGGCCACCTGTACCTTCTCTACAGGTTTTAAAAATATGCTGGGTCTCAGCATAGGGTCAGGGTGCAGAGATTAAGGATCAAGGCTGGTGCTTCACCAAACACTCTGCAATACAAGTTAATAACTAATAATCAAAACACTGGCTACAGATTATACAGGGTGAAGTTGTCAGGCATTAGGAGTACCTGACTCAATTCCCACTTTCAGTACAGACAGGGGGCTGGTTGATCCATCCTATCAAGAAATAATTTTCCAATGACTACCTCAATCTGCCTGTCTTGCTTTTAACCACTCCCTTCTACTGCAGGTGCATAAATACTCCTCTGGCCTTTTTCTGCACATCCTTGCAAATATAACACTCCATGGCTATAGATCAAGAAAACTGAGGTGAGAAGTAAGAGATGGCAAAAACTGACCACTTCATCTACGTAAGTGTGAGAACAGTAGGGACTCTCAGGGGAGGAGGAAGCAGGCAGGCTTTTGAGCTCATTCTTTCCTTTCCTTCTAGCTAAAGTCACTTCACAGTTTCATTCCCAGGAACTACGTCAGGTAAAAGTCCTCATGGAACAATGTGGACCTACACCTGCCCCAGAGGAGTCATCCTCTCCAAACAACTTTGAGTAACAACAGGCTCAGGAAGCAAATTGTGAATTCTAGAAACATTTCATTACACTTTTCCTTGGAACCAACCCAAAATTCCTCTTATTTTTTAAAGGGAAAAAATACATCAACAAAATTTCATATTGGGAAATAGATTCTTTGAAAATTTAATTTGTTGGAAATAAATAACCCAGTGATTTCCAATAATACATTTACTATCAGAATCTACCTTAAGAAGCCAGACAAAGCATGCTGAACTTTCAATCATTGGTAGAGCACGTATCTGGTTTTTTGCCATACTTACTCCTTAATTGTCAGCATCCCTTTTCCTAATTCTGAAGAACTGAGTTACTTTCAATGGCACTTTAGAGTCATGCTAGTAGAAACAGATCTCTGGATCCTGGAAAATTAAATTTAAGAATGCCAATAAAAAGACAAGTGAAACTACCCAACAGGGAAATGTCCTATCTCATGGTTGTAATTATGAAAATGTGTTATAATCTGGAAAGTAGTTATATGATTATGAATTTTAATTTTAACACTGCTTTGTGTTAGAGTAATCTAACTCAGACTGCTTATTGGTTATACATAAATCAGCTTCCCATTGTTCAGTGCAAAGCATTTTCTCCTGTTTACAAATAAAGGAATACTGGGCTCACCTACACCTACAGACATTCACCTGTGCTATATGCACTAGAGTCGTGTACACCAGAAACCTACACTGAAAGAAAGTTCACAGAATATGCTGAGTTGGAAGGGACCCACAAGGATCATCAAGTCCAACCCCTGGCCCTGCACAGGACCATCCCCAAGAGTCACACCATGTGCCTGAGATCATACAAACTTTGTCAGTCTTGGTGCTGTGATCACTTCCCTGGGGAGCCCGTTCCAGTGCCCAACCGCTCTCTGGGTGAAGAACCTTTTTCTAATATCCAGCCTAAATCTCCCCTGACACAACTTCAGGCCATTCCCTCAGGTTCTGTCACTGGTCACCACAGAGAAGAGATCAGTGCCTGCCCCTCCTCTTCCCCTCACAAGGAAGTTGTAACTGCAGTGAGGTCTCCCCACAGTCTCCTATTCTCCACGCTGAATAGACCAAGTGACCTCAGCTGCTCCTCATATGGCTTCCCCTCAAGGCCCTTCACCATCTTTGTTGCTCTCCTTTGGATGCTCTCTAATAGCTTAATATCTTTCCTATATCACAGTGAGTTAAAATCATAAATTCAGCAACTGAAAAATTATGAAAAAATACATATATGCTATCTATTTCTTACATAGGTTTCCCCAACATAAAATTGTGCTATAATTAAAATTTATACAACTGCTTTCGGATGACATAATTTTTTAATGCATATGCCTAACTTTGGGAGTTTGGCTTTGCAAGGCAGTGCTCTTCTTAACACAGACCAATTCCCTTTTTTTTCAAAAACCAAAATGAAGAATGAAATTTCTGTTGTACTCAGCTTCCTGACCACGTTTTGGGTCATCAGGCAGGCCCAGATCTAACCAGTATGTGAGATAATAAAGTAAGAGAGAGCAAGCTACTGTCCTCAGGTAGCCCTAGTCACTGCAGAGGTGAGTCATCATTCCTGAGATCAAACAAGTGAAGTCACAGACTTGGGGCTTCAACTCAAATCCTGCAGGAAGCTATCCTCTCCTGAGACACTCTCCTGCTCCAGGTGCTCCATGCTGTCTCTATTGCCTACAGTCTGTAGGTCCTGCTCTCCTTACACCCTTGGATGGCTTTTGATTCAATGCCTGCTCTCCACCACTGGCTCCTGCACTCCCACCCGCCAGCAAAATCTCCTCTCCAGAGCCCTTTCATTTTCCAACAAGTTATCTTTTTAACTTGCTGTGCCTGAAGTCTATCTTAATGGGCACAATTATCTGATACTGCCTGCTACATACTGGATGAAAATGAGGCAGAAATCCAGGGAGGAAAGTAATCTCCCTTCCGCTTTTCTAAGTCTTGATTTTATTTTTTATTAATTGTTTGTGACAGACATGTGCAATCATTACATGTGTAGGGAGCAATATGCTGTGCAGACTCCAGGAGTAAAGAAACCGCAGGGCTGTCATTCTTAAATTTAATTTCAGGACATGATTTCACAGGATTGAGGTGAAATGAAAATGGAACGACTGGAAGCAATAGCCAAGCAGCCTGTCAGCAGAACATGCAACCAGAGCAGCCTCTCAGTCCTCTACATTTTAGTGACTTAAGCACTAAAAACCAAACCCAGCAACACGACAGCCTTTAAACCAAGACATCTGTTTAGAGATTCTACATTGTACATATGGACTGAAAGGAAAAAAAAAAGGAAAAGAAAAGACTGTAACCTGCTATTTAAAATGTTCTCATTTGTTATAAAACCTCAACTGTAAGAGTGGTTCAGTATAGATTCTTCTGGGACTCCACTTTCCTTACTTGTCTCTGGAGTAGTCCTTCAGAGTGCAGGAGAAACAGCTGTTTTCTTGAGCACTGTTTGCTCTCAGTATTAGCTGCATAATGTATGCGTATTTTCTGTTCCTAATCTCCCAATCAGTAAGTCTTATTATGAAGCCTCCACAGAATTGATTTAAAAGTCATCCCTGACTTGCAGTAAATTCCAATTAGTCACTCACTGAAAGACATATTGTGGAAGTTTAATCCAGTCACACAATTCAGTCAACATCATACAAATTATCTTTCTAAAACGGGAAACCAATGCATTCCCATTTGTTGAGTAATAAACTAAAGTTACTCCAGAAAAAAAAAACAACCAAAAAATCAAACCAAACCAAAACAGAAAACTTCAAGTCAGGTTAAGCTCACAAGTCCTAAAATAACCAGACCAGAGTTGATCAGGTCTCCTGAAGACTGTGTGCCTTTCCAATACAATGGAGTGTTTAGTTTCATGAGCACCTGGCTCTGCTCTTAAACACATTATCATGTTTTCTTCAGTCTCAGGAATGCATGTGCAGTAGACAGCAGGCTTTTCATTCTCATATGGTATTTTCATGTTGTTATGACTAAATGGGCCTTTATTATTTCAGACTTTATATATAATATGATTCCTTCCCTCAAAGGAATGTATTTTAATAATAATATTAGCCAGCAGTTATATTGCAAGCATTTTTTAAAAACATCAAAGATGATGCCCTACTGTACATATATCAAGAAACAAGACATTTGGTTTGCTATGCAGTGAGCCACTGTACATTTTACCGTATTCTGTTTCACTGTATAGCTAACTTAGCCAAATGCATGTGCTCAGAAAATCCTTCCTTGTCTGAACACTTTATGAGCATATTTTATGGGCTCAGTACATGATTTTCAAAAGCTAATCAGTCAGATTGTGAAACTGAGCCCAATTTCCTCAATGCTGTTCTTAGTGGAAGCTTGTTCCATGCTAAATATAATTTCCCCAGTCATCTTTCATAGGATTGTTACAAGGGGGAAAAGGGAGCCCAAAATGCTACTTCTTAAATAAAAGTAGTGATCAGCTGCTTTCAATAAATTTTCTTCACTTGTAGATATACTAATACCAGGCATAGCCTCTGCCCACAGACATGTGGCATGAGCAGAGGGTAGGAATGCTATTCAAAGAAAAGGTCAACCTGAAAGCTGACAATCTCAGAAGCTGGGTGGGAAGGACCATCAGGGCTGGACTTCTCTTGCTGCCATTCCAACACAACCACATTTACCCGGCACATGGACACCATCAGGCTCCCACAGTGCTCAAAGTATAATGGAATCCTTAGGCAACACAGAACCCCGCTTTCAGTTCAGAGTTAACCACAGGGGAGTTGGGGTTTAAGACATGGTTAAATGATGAAAACCTACTGCTGAGAAAAGTTCTGGTTTTTATAACAAAATTTTCCAAATGGACTGAATTCTAATTAAATCAGACCTTTCCCCACCCCCTCCAATGAAATACTTATTGCAAAATCCAATAAAATGTCTATTTACATTTTTATGTAAGTGTATATGATTTCCAAGGTAAGTAATGAATATCTTTATATCTAGAATCTTAGAAGAAGTTTTTAAATTTCAATTTTTAAATTGAAAATTTAATCAAACAAATTCAGCCAAAATGTTGTCTTGATTTAAAGTATGGCTGTTAAATTAAAAAAATAAATTTAGTTTAGTTTAAATTATGGAAAAAATGTTGCCCAATATTGCTGCTAGAAATTACTGCACTGACAGTGAGTTCATTCAGTACTGTATTGTGCAATACAATTAAAGTGTATTGGCATTATTTGGGAAGACTGCATGTTCACACTGGTGTGCTTACCATGTTTTCCTAACAAGGGAGCATACTCATAAAAAAGCAGAGAGATCTTAAAGGAAGCCAACAGAAAAGTTCTTCTGCAGCTTTAGTCCTTTAACCTACTGGTCCCTGCAGTTGATTGGGATCTGGGTCAGCCAGTTTATTTTGTTCCTGGTGGCAAGATGGGTTGCAGATTTGCTCCCAGCAGTTACCAATATGGGCCTTTGGAAATGACAATTTGAAACCGGGCACTGGCAAAAAGCACCCATGTGACTATTTCTCTCTTTCAGAAACTAGCAAGACAAAGCAAATGAACATTTATTGTTCTGGAGATATTGGCACAAAAGCAAGATACTTTTCAGTGGCAAATACAATCCATTTTACTCCCTAGGGAGAGGGCTATTTTGGTATATAACTATGGATCTAGCCATGGCAAAAATAAAATAAAAATGTCACAGTGCCTCCACTAAGAAGTTCTGCTTTTGGTCTAGTTCTGGGGGACTTTGCTAATATCAAGCAACTTAGCTTTTGGGAGGTCAGTGCACTGCGTACACTGACAG